ATATATATACTGTACACATATGGTTCTACAGATGTGTGTATGTATAGGTCACTGTGTGATCTCATTCTTAAGGGTACTTGTACCCCTGTATATTACGGTCCCTGAGGAAATCGTCCAAAAGCTTATTGAATGATTCCACACTCTTAGCTGAAATCACTTCATGTGGCAGCGAGCAATGCATCTGATATCTCCACTACTGAAGGGTTATCATGTAATAAAGTCACAGCACTGTATATAAAGCCAAAACTTTTTTTTTTAGTTATGGATAAAGAAAGAATAGGCTAAAAGGAGAACTATGGGGTTAGGGCTTTTCCCCATAGGGTTCTCCTTAGGGTAACAGGAGGACACAAACTAGCGTCCTCACCGTCACACTAAGCTCAGTATACCGCGAGCACTGAGACGCCGCAGCTGAAGCGGAACTTGTCAGGTTTCTTTTTTGGGGTCTATGTCCTGTTGGAATATTTCCATTTACTTCCTGTTTATGAGACACAGAAGTAAAAAGAGATCTCTCCAAAGTTAGGGAATATCGAATCTTAGACAGTTGTCCCCCCATTGGAAGATATCCCCTCACCCCCTGATCCAAAAGTGAGTTGTCATAAAATCAGGTGTAGATGAAGCTATGCCTGAAGGAGGAAAAAGGGCCTGATAATCTATTGATGGTGCGCCAAACATTTGGTGCGTGGAACACCAATTTATTATTAAGGTGCCCATACACCTTACGACCATCGCAAGACCTTTGTCTTGCGATGGTCGTAAGCTCATTGAAAGCTTGTACGATCTGACCGCAGTGAGGCGTGGGCTTCTGATCACTGCAAATGGGCCCGTTCGGCAGTTGTCGAACAAGCAGGCCACTAACCCGCCGAGAATCGTACGATTTCAAGCCTGCTTGTTCGACGGAAGACGTGCGACCGTACAGTAGAAACGGTCGCACGCCTTCCATACACTGCACGATTCTCGTACGATCGCGGGATTTCCCGCGATTCTCGTACGAGAATCGTACAGTGTATGGGCACCTTAACTGATAACGCTGATTGTATATTGCAGCAGGATGTAACAAATGATTGAATGTGTCCAATATGGTAGGTATGCCATTTTTATTCTTATATTTAAAATGTTCTATCATTTAGATGTCACTTAGGCCCCGTTCACACTTAGCGATTTATCGCGCGGTAATTCCCACAATATCGCAGCAATTTACCGCGCCATATCGCTCTCCAATGCTTCTCAATGGGGCAAAGGGTCCTGCTATCGCGGGTCGTGCGTCGCTACAGCAGGACCCTTTTTTGAGCGGATTTAGCCGCGATTCAAGCTTGCTCAATGCAAGCATTTGCGCGATATCGCGCGACAAATCGCGCAAAATGCGCAACAAAGGCGCGATTTGCGAATCGCGCAGTGTGAATGGGGCCTTAATGTACTGCAGACAAAATTATTTTTAGCGGGGGTTCCACGAGACCTGAATAATATTTCAAGAGTTCTTCAGAGGCAGAAAGTCTGCTTTAAACCCAAAGAGTACTAAATGAACTAAAAGATGATGGTGATGATAATGTTGGTAAACAAAGTATCTTACCGAGACAATCCCTGATGCGTAGGGATCATACAGCTGGCAGACTATATTTCCAGTCTGCCCATCAAACACGTCCACCGTGCGCAATTCATCTGCCGTGTATCCCGGGAACTGAGGATCTGGATATCGTCCAGCAACAATCAGGTCGTAGCGGGGATGCCAAGAGGCCTGAAATAAAAGTAAAGCAAAATATAATGTAACCTATAAAACGTCAGATATCTTTATAATCTACAGCAGAAGATGCAGCGGACCTGCAAAATTGTAGCTGCAAATCTTTGTATATTATTTTATAAAATAACGGACAATACAAAATCTGCTATCGCTTAAAATGAAACTCTGGTCTAAATAAAGTATACAGTACACTCTGTAAATAGTATTTAAACAGCCGTTTTGTTTTTTCTAAATCTACTTTGCATCATAGTTCTGTTACCGGTTGATCCGCTATTTTCACACTTCCTGTCATAGGGTGACAACTTTTGTTCTGCAGTGAAACCATATCGCAGAGTTGTCACGCTGTGGAGTTTTAGGTGGACTTTAAAGAAAAAAAAAAAAAAGATTTAAACCCAACTCCAGCTAACAATTTTAAGTGTTTACAGCCCCATGGTTGTTAGGGTGAAGGAGATGGAGCTCCCGAGCTGGGACATGAACTGCAATAAAAACAGGGACTCTAACCCTACCAAAAAACCAAAGATACACTTTCAAGCCCAAATCTGCTTAATTATGCTCAATTGTTTTTTCTTTGTTCAACTATTTAAGCCAGTCACATAATACTTTGGGTCCTCTTTTCATCTTCTCTATGGATGGGTGGTCCTTAACAATGCAGAAAGCAGTGTCACCTCTGCATCATCATGCTGTAAGTGGAGGGCGCTGTGGTGATGCCCCATCAGGGGGCAGGTCCATGACTCCCTACACTAACAGAATGTCCTGGACGTCCTTTAACCGGCAGACTGAAGACATCTGGGGGCAGAAAGTAATTACTGCGCTGGAGAGGAGCTGAGTATTATAGTAAATGCAGTTATTTCATTTTCAGTACTGCTGGAGGAGTCACTTTGATGAAAAGTTGGGCTGTGATTCCTGTTCCAAAATAAAACCCACAAACCTTTATGGCCGTCAGGTGCTGGAACTGCCGGTGCGGATGTGGAATAATACGCTGGGGCTTTGACCAATCGCTGGCGGAGTACACGCGGATTTCACTGTGCTGGTCGGTGGTGAGAAGTTTAGCTCCATCCCAAGGACTGAAGTATGCTGCACAAAACAAATAGCAATGATGAGGCTTTTCATGTCCTTACCGGGGCTTCTGTGAAGAGGCGGGAGGCAGGACAATACAGTGTATAGGAAGTGAGGATGACAAGGGGACGTGATGGAGCGGAAAAGGAGACGAGCTGGAGCAGGGGTAGGCAACTCCAGCTGTTCCGGAACTACAAGTCCCATGAGGCATTGCAAGACTCTACCAGTTACAGGCATGACTCCCAGAGGCAGAAGCATGTTGGGACTTGTAGTTAAAGCACAGCTGGAGGGTTGGAGTTTGCCTCCCTGGGCTGGAGGGAATGGTCTAACAGCCAGCTCCGAGGTTCAGGAGAGTAGAACTTACATTTCTCACCTAGATGAAAACGAGCACTTAACCCTTGCAGTGCGGGGGTAGGGTTCAGAATATTTTTGCCCAACAATCAACGTCCTTTATTTTCTCCCTTCTGGTCTGGTAAGTTTACAATTAAAAGTGTTCAATAAGTGCAAAACAAATACCTGTTGATCTTCCATAAATCCTGGAAGTCGATATATTGCACTGAAATCCAAAGTAGTGTTATCAGCCCTGTCCAGTTACATAGTATTTGAGGTTGAATAAAGACACAAGTCCATCAAGTCAAACCTATTGTGTGTATGCATTTATGGTTCTGCTGGTGTGTGCGTGTGTATGGGTCCATGTGTGATCTTGTTCACCCCTGAACTACAGAAAGACTCCCCCCTATTGTATGCAGATGAGGCAGAAGTGTTCCGTAGTCCTTACACACTTCCTATCCTAAGGTGACAATGCTGCTCCTCCATAGATACAGTACAGTGAGCGTTGTCACCGTAGGACAGGAAGTGTGTTACTGGCAAGATCACCAGGGGAAAAGAAAAAGAAAAGCCGCAGCATAGAAAACGAATGCAGCCACCACATTGAAGGGCTAATGAGCTCCAATATATGACATTTGTGCTCCTGGAATTAGATTTCCTGATAAATAAACGGGGCCGTACCAGAGTTGACTCCGCGGGTGTGAGGCAGTGTGTACAAGCAGCTGGACTTGTCCTTGATGCTTCTCAAGTCCCAGAGCTTAACGGTTTGATCCACGGAGGCTGTGGCCAGGAGCCAGTCACACCGAGGGTTAAATTCCACGTGGGTAACTTTCTTCTTGTGTAATCTCATCTTGAAGATCTGAAAAACAGGAAAGATTCGGAATCCAGGGTGAGGCTGGCCATACGGGAGTCCTGCTGCCTTGGCCGAAAATGAACCGGTGTGTGGCCCCTTCGGGGACTCCTTTATTTGACCAAAGTCGATTGTCCAATCAATTTTGGGCAAAGGAGCTGGTCCGAAAATTCTCAGCCAATCAGATCATTGTTCGGGTTGTCCGACAGCGGGATACCCACCACTGGTCAGAACTCGGAATGGCCAGCCGCGATTGTTTTTTTTTTTCCCCCCTCGCAGGACTAAACAAAAACAACAACAACAACAACAACAGGTTTATGGCCACTTAACTCTCATCATTTATCACACCATTAAACAACTGAAACAGTAGCATGGACTTACAACAGACTGCCAGGAGGCATAGTTGTGAAAACAACCGCCATAAAACTAATTACAGGAGAATGCCCTTAGATAAAGCCAATAACAAATAAATGTGTAGAACAGAGAGAGACCACGAGGCCCTTATATAAAAAGGTCAAAATGTAAAGGGTCATTGACATAAACAGGCCTCTGGAGAAAGGGTTTCATTGCACATTAATGAGAGTGCTCTCCTTTTGAAGAGGCTTATTTATGTAATTGGCCCTTCAAATACTAGAGTATTACTAGATGAGGACCTCAAGGTTAGGGTTTAATTACACTTTATAACGAGAACCACCATCGATTAACACACAAAAAGCCAACAGAGATAGCCTGGGGCTCTTATCTATGGGAAATGTTTAAAGGGACATTTACATACAAAAGCTCAAGAAAAAATAAATAATTTACTCAGCTTTCCCCGACTTCCTCCCGCTGTGCCTAGATGAGGGTGAGGTCCCCTTCCTAAATGCTGCATAAAAAGTACCTGGGAAAGGGGGAGATGCATAATACACTCACCTTTCCCCAATCACCTCCCACAGCACCTAGATGAGGGTGACGTCTCCTTCCTAAATGCTGCATATAAAAGTACCTGGAAAGGGGGAGATGCAAAATACGCAGCTTTCCCCGACTTCCTCCCGCAGTGCCTAGATGAGGGTGACGTCCCCTTCCTAAATGCTGCATATAAAAGTACCTGGGAAGGGGAGAGATGCTTAACATACTCACCTTTCCCCAGTTTCATCCCACAGTGCCTAGTTGAGGGCGATATCCCCTTCCTAATTGCTGCATAAAAAGTACCTGGGAAGGGGGAGATGCATAATACTCATCTTTCCCCAATTACCTCCCGCAGTGCCTAGATGAGGGTGAGGTCCCCTTCCGAAATGCTGCATATAAAGTACCTGGGAAGGGGGAGATGCTTAATATACTCACCTTTCCCCAGTTTCATCCCAGTGCGGAAGGGGATGAGGGTGACATCCCCTTCCGAAATGATGCATAAAAAGTCCCTGGGAAGAGGGAGATGCATAATATACTCTGGAAGGGGGAGATGCATAATATACCCAGGAAGGGGGAGATGCATAATATACCCAGGAACGGGAGATGCTCATCTTTCTAAGACTTCCATAGTGCAGAGGGTGGCGTCATCCTCCTGCAAGCAAGATCCCTGTGATTGCTGAGTAACCCAAATCTCACGAGAAGATGATGTAGCACAATGCAGGATTGTCTTTTTGCCAGATCTGCGCCACTCAACATTCCCAAGCATTTGTCCAGAAAGAGGAAGACGTCACCCTCATCTTTTATCTGCGGAGGAAGTTGGGGAAATACAGTAGTATCTAATCTCCCCCGCCCCCCCTCCTCAGGTACTTCCATACAACGGAGGGGGGGTGACTTGAATAAGTGGACCTTGGCACAGAGGTGGAAGGTTTGCTGTAAGATGAGGCTTAAACGTTAGGGTCCATTTAAGTGGTAAGGCAGTGGCAGGCAACCTTGGCACTCCAACTGTCTGGGAACTACAAATTTCACCATGCCTCTGGGAGTCATACCCGTGGCTGTTAAGAGTCTTGCAATGCCTCATGGGGCTTGTGGTTCCATCACAGCTGGAGTTCCAAGGTTGCTTACCCTGTGTTAAGGCATAGGTTATGGTGTGCATTGGTATATAAACTAGTTTGGGATGCGCATGCACTGTCTAGCAGACCCCCGCATATCAATAAAGCAATACTGACACATTCCCACAGCAAAGACTGTACAGCACACATTCCATTAACACTGTAAGAGTCCTTCAGATGCGATGTCCCACCCCTCCCCCACGATGTCATGCTGCTGCATATTAAGGTGTGTGAAGGCTCATTCCTGCCCAGCGGGGGTAGAAACACTCATACACAAGGCAGACTATATTCCTTGACCTCACACCCCTACCAAACCTAGAGGTCTGCAAATTTGCCTGCACACGTGACAAATATATCACCACTTGACAACCTGTTTTTGTTTGTATAGGCCATATGGCCGTGGCCAGTGGTGATAACTGCTGCAGGGAGACTTCTGACCACAACTGAGGAGAAACCACAACAAGAGACGACAGGACGTTTGCATCAGCTGACTGCACACCTGCTCGGCTCCTCCATGCGCCTGGATTTGGAATATTTGCCTAACGTTTCATAGTTCAAGTCCAGGCTTCACTTACCTCCTTCCCACAAGTCTCCAGGAGAACCACATTGCCCACATTGTCTCCGGTTACCACGCTCTGACGACTGGCAGATACATCCAGACTGCAGTACCACATGCTGGAGGGACACAAAAGCATTACCGTGTCAGAATTCCTAAATAAAACCGAGCATGGAATGATCTCCCTTCCTCCCAATGATATTATGTTATGGCATTGCCATTAATGGGGTCCTCTAATCCTGTATGCCTCCATGTTGTTTGTGTGCCCCAAGACGCTACTAGCATTAAAGTATACCTTGCACTATAAGACAAGGTCCACTTATTTAATAGTACCTCCCTGATCCCAAATCACATCACTATAAGACACGGTCCACTTATTACATAGTACCTGCTCATCCCAAATCACAGCACTATAAGACAAGGTCCCCTTATTACATAGTACCTCCCTGATCCCAAATCACAGCACTATAAGACAAGGTCCACTTATTACATAGTACGTCCCTGATCACAAATCATGCCACAATAAGACAAGGTCCACTTATTACATAGTACCTGCTCATCCCAAATCACAGCACTATAAGACAAGGTCCCCTTATTACATAGTACCTCCCTGATCCCAAATCACAGCACTATAAGACAAGGTCCACTTATTACATAGTACGTCCCTGATCACAAATCATGTCACAATAAGACAAGGTCCACTTATTACATAGTACCTCCCTCATCCCAAATCACATCACTATAAGACAAGGTTCACTTATTACATAGTACCTCCTTCGTCCCAAATCATGTCACCATAAGACACGGTCCACTTATTGCATAGTACCTCCCTCATCCCAAATCACAGCACTATAAGACAAGGTCCACTTATTACATACTTTATTTACTTATTATTACCGACTTATTTTCAGCCCTTTATCCTGAGAACCAGGGTCCCACCCTGCCTGTAGCTTAGCACCCTACTTACGCCCAGTCTTCAGTGTTTGTATACATCTGTACGGTCCGTCCATTCAAATCTTGGAGGATGGTGCTACCCGCTACTGACGATGTATAGATCTGGTTAGAGTTGAAGGGGTCGAATTTCATTCCTGTAATACAGCCGCCAGCTCCAATCTGCCAGACACAGTGATAGTGATGAGTATGGCTGCCAACACAAGGTCAGGTCTCCTCATTCCAGAAGATCAGAAATGTAGCCGGTACTGCAGAATACACTCAAACCTGCTACTTGAGATCTAATTTCACATTTACCCCGAGTATTAAACCCCCAAATTGTTTCTTACATTTCTTGGGACTGCAGTGCAATATTCTGAGATGGGAAGCTACAGAGGAAACAAGTACTGGCAGTAAGACTGTTCCAGTTGGATCTCCGAAACATAAAAGCAGCCATTGGCTGGTGACTAGGTCCACCACATTCCACCCATAACTAAAAAAGTACTTTCATATAGACAAGGCCTATCTATATGAAAGTACTTTTTTAGTTTTAGCACCACGGGGTCCTTTTGAGAAATTGTTGGAGGAAGTTCCTCTTCCCATTAACAGGCCGTTAATGGGAAGAGGAACTTCCTCCAACAATTCTCAAATCAAAGGACCCCGGGGTGCACTATAAATGGAATGGAAATCTGCAGACTTCTTGTGCATTTACTTTCATGGTGCAGTGTGGATGACCATTGTGAGACTGCAGTCGGGTTGAGCATCTATGAACGCAGCAGGTCCTAATGAGACCCATTGGCACTGCAGGCAAAGTAGGTCAAGCGCAGCCTTTGCTGCGTTTTCCACTTGAACGCATCTGTATCAGCAGCACTGCATTCAAATGGAGAAGCCAGCATTCATCAACATACGGCAGGTGCCTGGAGATCCACTTTGATTAAAACATCACCAAGTAAAATGATTTGTCCCCCACCACACACAAAAAAACAGAACTGGGTCCAAATCCCTCTTTATAAATGGCGCTTGAAGAGAAGTCCCTCCGACTAGCAAAAAATATGGCACTTCTAACTGTAGGACTACAACGCAACACCAGTGGTGGCAGTGGTGGAATATGTAAACTGCAAGTCAAGGTCTTGGGTAATACCTAGAAGATACAAGCAGCAGGTCACCCAACCACAGAATGATCATTTAGCTTTAGGTCATTTTATATTTTCCCCTCTGAAAGACTTCAGAGATTTTATTGCACTCTGAGAAACATCCATCACTGATCTCTGCAGGTCTGTTGCCTATTGTCAATTTTATTTTTCACTACTCTATTTGTAGAAATGAGCCCAAACTAAAAACTGGGTACCCCTACAGAAAAGGAGGCTAGAGGGGCATTATGGTGCCATTATAGAGGTTCAAGTCTTATAGCTTCAAAACAACTAGAGAACGACAGTCTTCTTCTAGCCCTTCCCCTCACATCATACTTACTCCAGGAATGAGTGTGCTGTTCAGGTCCTCGTAGTCCCATAGAATGATGTCCCCTCCTTTAGACCCCACAGCCACTGTGTTTTGGTGAGTCGGGTGCCACTCTAGTGTCGTAACTCTCCTGTCAAAGGGGCTGTTGGTCCGATAGAGGATGTAGGAGGCCAAGGAGCATAAGAATGGAGTCTGCAGGCACTGTGGGGAATACACACGTAAGAACCCGAGCCTGGCACACATTGATTAAAGAAAGGCAGAACTCGTGGGTAACTTACCTTTGCCCGAACGTTTCCGCCCACTGTACTCCGGTACAGATAGTGCACAATGTTTGTATGTTTGTCTCCAGGCTTCATAGATTTAAGGCCGTGTTTTAAACCTGCAAGGAGAGGATTGATTACATCATAAACAGTATGCGTAAATTGAAGGCGGTATATAAAGATTGGTAATAAAGTTTAAAAAAATTATAATTTACTAACTAATTTACTAAAAATACATACAGGCAGTCCCCGAGTTACATACATCTGACTTACATACGACTCCTACTTACAAACGGAGGCTATTACCGTACAGCAGGCGTAGTTGTAATGCTATCGCGCTCGTGCTGACGAGGAGTGCCCGCCTTTTTGGGTCTGTTTCGTAGTACTGTACGTACATTACAGGAAGTTGGCTATTGTTAGACGTGCAGACGAGGGGTGCCCGCCTCTTCTTCCGGGTCACTGTGAGGTTTTTATTGCTGTCTGTATCCTCATTGGAAAGATTTAATCTCAATCCCGGAGACTGCCTGTACAGTGGTCATCCGTATTACTCTGCCTCATTACCTGCACTGCCCTCTGGAGCGTCTAGCGCAGCATTTTTTTTCCGGTAGGGTCTCCTTGACTCCGGCTCAAAGCTTGTATCTCGGCTTCCTAATTTTAAACCTGGAAGTAGAAGATTCAGCACATCATTGACTCACTGAACAAAAATGACCTACAAAAGGTCATCCATATCATTCTGCCTTATTACCTGCACTGCACTCTGGAGTTTCCAGCACTTCTTGTGCAGCATTTTTTTTCCTGTTGGGTTTCTTAGATCCCGGCTCAGCGCTCGTATCTTGGCCTCCATGTTTTAAACCTGTGTGTAGATGATTCAGAACATTCACTTACTGAACAAAATGGCATACAATGGTTATTTGGATAAGTCTGCCTTATTACCTGCTCTGCACTCCGGAGCTTCCGGTGCTTCTTGTGCAGCATTTTTTTTCCGGGAGGGTTTTTTAGATCCCGGCTTGGCGCTTGCTTCTTGGTCTCTATGTTTTAAACCTGTAAGTGGAGAATTAATCACATCATTCACTCACAGAACAAAAATACATACAATGGTCATCTGTATCATTTTGCTTTATTACCTGCACTGCACTCTGGAGCTTCTGGTGCAGCATTTTTTTTCCGGCAATGTTTCTTAGATCCCGGATCGGTGTTTGTATCTTGGTCTTCATGTTTTAAACCTGTAAGTAGAGAATTAAAGTGACACTAAACTCAGGAGTTAATCTTAAAAATGCATTCAAGCACCTTAACTATTAACATAAATGTATCTTCTTTGTGTATCACTCGGCTGTAGATCCTCAAATCATCTCTGAATTGGTGCTGACACTGTCCTTCCTTCTGGGAGGGGGGCTGCTATTGTTCCCCATGGTCCCTGTATGTGTTGCAAATTAGTCACCGCGCCAAGCTCACTCCCGTGATGGACTACAATCTCAATACAAATTAGTAAATTAAATGTGAGATTGTAGTCCATCACGGGAGTGAGCTTGGTGCGGTAAATACTTTACAACAGACACAGGGAGGGTGGGCAACAAAAGTAGCCCCCCTCCAGAAGGAAGGACAGTGTCGGCACCAATTCAGAGATGATTGGAGGATCTACAGCCGAGTGATACACAAAGAAGATACTTTTTTGTTAATAGTTCAGGTACTTGAATGTATTTTTAGGATTTAACTCCTGAGTCTAGTGTCACTTTAATCACATCATTCACTTACAAAACAAAAATAAAAACAATGGTCATCCGTGTTATTCTGCCTTATTACCTGCACTGCATTCCGGAGCTTCTTCTGCAGTATTTTTTTTCCGGCACGGTTTCTTAGACCGCAGCTTAGCGCTCATATCTTGAGCTCCATGTTTTGAACCTGTAAATAGAGAATTAAATAACATAATTCCCTCACAGAACAAAAATACATACAATTGCCATTCGTATAATTCCATCTTATTACCTGCACTGCACCCCGGAGCTTCTTCTGCAACATTCTTTTTCCGGCAGGGTTTCTTGGACCCCGACTTGGCGCTCATATCTTGACCTCCGAGTTTTAAACCTGCAAGTAGAGAATTCATCACATTGTTCACTCTTAGAAAAAAAAAAACCCAGACACAATGGTCATCTGTATAATTCTGCTTTACTACCTGCTCTGCATTCTGGAGCTTCCGATGATTCTTGTGCAGCCTTTTTTTTTCGGCAGGGTTTCTTAGACCCCGGCTCGGCGCTCATATCTTGATCTCCATTTTTTAAACCTGTAAATAGATGATTCATCACGCCATTCACTCACAGAACAAAAAACAATACAATGGTCATCCGTCTATTTATGTCATGTTACCTGCACTGCAATCCGGAGCTTCTTGGGCAGCATTTTTTTTCCGGCGGGGTTTTTTAGACCGCGGCTCAGCACTCGTTTCTTGACCCCCATGTTTTAAACCTGTAAAAAGGAGAGAATTCATCACATCATTCACCCACAGAACAAAAATACCTACAGCGGTCAACGATATTATTCTGCTTTATTACCTGGGCTACAATCCGGAGCCTCAGGTGCTTCTTGTGCAGCATTTTTCTTCCGGGAGGGTTTCCTAGACCTGGGCTTGTTTCTCGTATCTTGGTTTCCATTATTTAAACCTGGATGTAAAGGATTTATCACATTCACTCACAGAACAAAAATGCCTACAATAGTCATCTATATTGTTCTGCCTTTTTACCTGGACTGCACTCCGGAGCCTCTGGTGCAGCATTTTTCTTCCGAGAGGGTTTCTTAGACCCCGGCTTGGAGCTCGTATCTTGGTTTCCATTATTTAAACCTGTTGTTAGGAAAGGATTCATCACATTCACTCACAGAAAATAAAAATAAAAAATACCTACAATGGTCTTCTGTATAATTCTGCTTTTTTACCTGCACTGCACTCTGAAGCCTCTGGTGCTTCATCTGCAGCATTTTTTAGTGCAGCTTTTTTCTTCCGGGAGGGTTTCTTAGACCCCGGCTTGGAGCTCGTATCTTGGTTTCCATTATTTAAACCTGTTGTTAGGAGAGGATTCATCACATTCACTCTCAGAAAATAAAACAAAATACCTACAATGGTCTTATGTATAATTCTGCCTGTTTACCTGCGCTGCATTCCGGAGCCTCTGGTGCTTCTTCTGCAGCATTTTTGAGTGGAGCATTTTTCTTCCGGGAGGGTTTTCTAGACCCTGGCCTTGTGCTCGTATCTTGGTTTCCATTATTTAAACCTGGAAGTAGAGAATTCATCACATTCACACTCAGAAAATAAAATACCTACAATGGCCATCTGTATAATTCTGTCTTTTTACCTGCACTGCACTCTGGAGCCTCAGGTACTTCTTCTGCAGCATTATTTTGTGCAGCGTTTTTTTTCCGGTAGGGTTTCTTTGACCTCGGCTCGGTGCTTGTATCTTGGTTTCCATATTTTAAACCTGTTAGGAGAGGATTCAATACATCATTCACTCACAGAACAAAAATACATACAATCGTCCTCCATTTAATTCTGCCTTATTACCTGCGCTGCAATCCGGTGCTTCTCGTGCAGCATTTTTTTTCCGGTAGGGTTTCTTAGACCCTGGCTCAGCACTCGCACCTTGGCCTCCATTCTTTAAACCTGGAAGTAGAGGATCCATCACATCATTCAGTCACAGGAAAAAAATACCTACAATGCACATCCATATTATTCTGCTTTATTACCTGCACTGCACCCTGCAGCTTCTAGTGCTTCCTGCGCAGCATTTTTTTCCCGGCAGGATCTCTTAGACCCCGGCTCAGCGCTCGAGTCTTGGTGTCGTTTCCTCTTCCCCAGAGACGCCTCTTCCTTCTCTTTATCCTCTGAGGGTGGTTCCAGCCTCTTTTTTCCCTGTGCGGTCTTTTTGGGGGGCATCTAGGAATGATGAAATGTATAAGTAATCCCTAACAATGAACTTATTATATTTTCTCCCTTCTGGTCTGCTAAATATCCAATTAAAATCTTTTTTTTTATATCTGTTCAATAGCTGTAAAAAAAAAAACACCAGTTGATTTTGTCAAATAACTTGTGAGCTGATAACTTTCTCTCCCGTTCATTGAAGGACACAGGGAACAGATCGGAGATCATGTACTGTAATATCGCCACCTGCAGGAGAAGGACGCTAGGCACAAAAAAACTAAAGACCAATTACAGCCTAGGGGCGGCCCCTGCCGGTGGCCAAACCCCCCACCTACTGAGAAGTCTCCAGTTTTTTGCCTAGCGTCAGGAGTAAGGAGCTAAGAATTTTCCTCGGTATTCTTACCTGCTTCTTCCTGATTTTTTTCAGAGGATTCTTCTTGACTCTCTGCTTGTGAACAAGGAGAGGTTATTGAAATAAGGAGAGGTCTGTGTTTTTTGTAACCCATCTGATATGAAGAAGGCAGAGCTGACACCACAAGCCGAGGCTGGCCATACAATAAAAGGCAATTCCACATTCCCCGATGAGTTTGGGAAAATGGAATTAGAACCGCCCCCGGTTTGTTGACAGCTAAGGAGGTGGGGGGATTGGTGGGGTTAATTCCAATTAACCAAATCTGCCTCTGAAAGTAGAATTACCCTTCTATTTTTCAGGCCGTACGAATAAATTCTATTGGATTCCTCCATCCATGGTAAGCAGCGTGGATGAAATAATCCCCCCTATCCGCTATCGTATTGAAGCAGCGGCTGAAAATTCCAAGACAGTGTCTACATCTGATCAAATGCAGGTACTGTTGGACCCAAACAATTTCAGCCCAGCTCCTAAAATTGATTGAAAAATTGACTTTTGTCGAGCAGGGAGGTGCTGATTGGGCCACCCACTGGTACAGCTGCAGCCAGTTGATCAAGAACTGGACAAAATTTGCTTCATGAATGTCCAACTGTAGGACTTGAGAGCTAAAAATACACTATGGGACATTTATGGAGCAAATTAGGGACACAGAGGCAAATCAGGCCACCACCTCTCCATCAGCAAAGTCTCTGCGACAGCTTTACTGTGTATGTGTGACCTCTGCACCTGAAACAGGTTTATGACTAAAAAAGAGGCAGTGGTCGGGTTGAGGTTTCATTTTCTGGAAGTCTTACTTTAAAGCAGCTGAGAGAGGAAGTTATGACTCAAGATGTAATCAAATATGTTGAGCATTGCCTTGTTGTGTCACAGGATTGATAAATGTTCCCACATTTGTTGCCATGTCAAAGAATAGGGTGTGCTTTATATTTCCGGCACAAGACACCTATGCTTCTATACTTGCAGTGTGCCTGAAGGGACAACACATGCGGAAAGTACTTCTTGTACTGAAGAAGTACAAAGTATTTTCTTTTTTTTATTCTGCCTTCACATTCACTTTAAGGAAATAAGGAGATACAATGTTACAATTCAAGAGACAGCTGGAGGGAATGAGAGTATAAATTGTAAGCCCTCACGGGCAGGGCCCTCCTTACCATCTTGTCTTGAATTGTATTGTGATTGAAATGTCTTCCTTATATTGTAAAGCACTGCTCAAACTGTTGGCACTATATAAATCCTTTATAATAATAATATAACCAATTATACTATGGGGATAGCAACGGTTACACTTACATGCTCATTCCCTGCAGTGGTATCTTAAATTGTCTCCCTACTACCATGTATTTATTGCTTATGATCCATCTAGTGACCATAATGTGCCCCCGCCACATTGAAGAACATTTGAGCAGAAGAGAAATTATACTAAAAATATCCATTTTTGCCCCATTCTCACAACAGCTGGATAACTCCCATAGAATACATGTACATGCAGTTTCCCTGATTCAAACCCAATGCATTTTTTTTTTCTATTTAGACCTCTTTAAACGCTATAACAAAAATATGAAAAAGGAACAAGATTACTCATTATATCCCTGGATGTTTTTCTAAAACGCTGTTCCTAAATAAATCGCCAATTCAGTTATAATGCAGGAAAAATAACAACAGGTTCCACAGGAAAAGAAGGCTGAACATTGGCATGATGGGACTGTCAGAAGAAAAATACAACCTACTCTCAACTATAAGAAATGGAAGAACTTACAACATCAAAATCAGATTGTAAAGGAAGGATAAGTGCGGCCTTCCTGATAGATGTGAAACTAAAACCACATGTGCAAAATGGGGTCACAAAATGTCACTCTGTAGCGGTGGAGTGAGTATGCAACTTGAGAAGAACACGTTAGTCATGATGTAGGTGTACATACCCAATATTTAAAACAAAAATGTAAATATTTAAAACAATATTTAAAACAATATTTAAAACAAAATTAAGCCTGGCCAACCAATATCAAGTAAACATTTGGCCCATAAAAAAATGGAAACAGGTTCACTCAACATATATTTTATACGGCAGGGCTGGACAAATCCCAGGATTGTCCCAGGTCACCAATGCTCCTTAAAAATTACAACTGGCACCTAACTTTTGAGTTTTTCTCTAGTTGTTATCAATGGAGTTGTCTCCTATTAAAAAAAAAAAAATCCTACTGGCTCCTGAACTGGATAGACTGGCTATTGAAATGTATATTAATTTGTCCACCAGGAAACTCTGAAAGGCCTTAATGATGGAAGGAGCAGGCAAGTAATTGTGAGGGGTGATTTTCACGCTTGGATTGGCATAGATGGTATATTTGGACCACGGAAGTGCCAAAATGAACAGGAGTGAACAGGAGGAGGCGGAAATGATGTAACGCCACAACAGGAAGTGATGTTCCCAGACTTAGAACGAGGCTTGGAACGCAGACACACCCTCACTTTGGCCTGCCAAACCCACTCACACCACGAGGAAGAAAGCACTCAAGAACACCAGACAGGGCAGAGCCTGAGGGAAATCTAGCCTGGGAGTCAAACCTCAGCCTAGGGAAGAGACCCAGCTATCTTCTGTCAGGGGAAATTACCTCAGTGGTCTGAAAGGCAAGGCTACAGGCAATCCCAATACCCTAGCACAACCACACAGGGGGGACTGCTGACCACAAGGCCATCCAGTCGGGAATCAAAGAAACAAACATTGTGCTGACCCGGACAGTAAGGAACACAATCAAAAACTGAGGGGGGTGGGAGGGGTTTTTAAACTTGTCAGATTGTGTCTCCTGTAGACTGAAGAACCAATCATCTCTGAGGTTGCTGTCCTGGAAAACGATTGGAGAAAAAATGCTAATCAATTTTTGCAAAGAAAAAAGGATTTATCTTAGGAAACATGTACAAAAGCATTAAAAAGAAGACGGACTACAGTTGGAAGACCACCTACAGCTTGCTAGACTACACTACCATCAACAAAAAGTACAGCAGGACAGTCTCAAAGTACAAGTCTCGGATCACATGCAGGTAACAGGAAATAATGATTTTAGATTGTAAGCCCTCAGGGGCATGGGCTCTCCTTACCATCTTGTCTTGAATTGTATCGCGATTCTAATGTCTTCCTTATGTTGTAAAGCGCTGTGCAAACTGTTGGCGCTAAATAAATCCTGTATAATAATAATGACCAGAACAAAGAAAACTCTAAGAGCTAGGTGACTAAAAAATGATGAGAATGGTAAAAGATTTGAAGAACCATCAACAAGAAACCACTGAGAGCAATACATGGGAAGAAATGGTGGGAAATTCAGATATGCAACAGACATTATCATTCCAAAGCCCAACCAAAAGAAAAGAGACAACTGGGTCACCAAGGAAATCCATGTTCTGGTGAGTGAAAGTGAGGGTGAACAAATGAATATGGAAATGAGGAGACAGCCTGTCCAAACCAGGAGTCTCCGAAATAATTTTTTTTAGGAGCAGGCTGCACGGACAATAACTAAATTGTTTACTGGACTCCACTGACAATAAACCAAAAGTTAGTAGTCAGTTGTAATTTTTAAGGAGCATTGGCTACCTGGCTTCTGAGAATTGCCAAGCCCTGAGTGAAAGGAAAAGAGAAACGAATCCAAGTAGAATTACAAGACCAATCAGTAGAATGTGCCAACAAGTGAAACAGAAAGAAATAAAATGAGATATGTGCTGAAATACACAAACTAGAAGAGAGAAATGAAACAAGGAAATGTATGCGGAAGTAAAGAAACCAGCACCAAAACCAAAAGGTTAATAACGGAAGATGGAAATAAAGAAGGAAAAGGGATTAACCACACAGAGTGAGAAACACTGCACATGGAAAGAATAGGTGGAAGAACTTTATGGAAGTGGAAGACCCAGGAAGGATGTCCCACAACATGAGGCTGTAGAGATAACAAATTATGAGATAATGAAAGTTTGGGTAACAAGACATCCATGAAATACCAACGGGGGTTGTTAAAAGAGCAGGAAATAAAGTAAAAGAAGAGTCTGCTGAATTCATGACAAGCATTTACCAAGCAGAGGAAATTCCCAAAGATTGGCTACAGACTATATTCATAGCAATTCTGAAGAAACTGAACCACAAAAATGTGAAGAGCATCAGACAGACAATAGCCCTGATACCACAAGCAATGAAGGTCTTATCAAAAGTAACCTCCAACCGCAAAATTATAATTCCAAGACAAGATCAACCCATTGTAATAAAGCCAAATGTTGGCACCATCGAGAGTATCACCACAATGAATATCCTGATAGGAAATCAGATCAACAGGCAACAGGAAATACCTTGGCAAAGTCAATGGAGCATAGATATTTGATCAAGTTGAACATGACATCCTCATAGCAACACTCTTGAAAGGAAGTGTGTAAAAAAGATGACTCATAGCCACTACTCATAGATCTAGTGCCGAATGCGAGGCCCAGGGGGCCACACACAACCCTTTGGCACTTACTGTGGCAGCCCTCGGAGCACCTGCAAACAGTATGTATCATGGTATTTTAAAGCTGGAGCACATTGAAACGTAAAAGGGGCTGTAAGTGCAATAGTCTCATATCGATAGTCTATAAAGGTCTCCTGCACTAGATCTCCAGTCTCCAACAACTATTATAGAATGTCTGGTGTCTCTAAGGGCATTACATAAAATCAAACTCACTAAATAATATTTGTGACCCTTTGGTAAGGTCAGGCGGCTGCACTTGAGGCCCTTGTCATAAAAGGAGCCAATTGACCAACACCGATCTATAACAAGCAGCAAAGGGTTTATGAAGATGGATACCAAACCTGAGATGTGTAATAACAGTAGAAAGAGGCCAAGGATACCTTCCATCTCCACCGCTGTTCAATACGTTTTTCTAGGTATATGTGATGGTGTTGGAATTCCATGGTATGACTCCAATATCATAGAGTAGATAAACTAGGCAGACTATGGTTTTGCTTGCAGAATCTAGTGAAGACCTCAACTGCTTACTTCATGAAATAGAATAAAAAGGACAAGGAAGTTTCCATCCAAATAAAAACTCAAAAGATAAAAAAAAGGTAACCAATAATGAATACAAAGAAGCAAAACTAAGGCTCAAAAATGAAGGAATATTGCAGGAACATCCAATATCTTTGAATATGGATTAACGAAAACCTGAAGAACGACGTCAGACCTGGAATCGCCAAGGCCAAACAAAATCTCTGGAGACACAAAGAGGTGATGAGGAACAATATCCCTTTAAGCACAAAGCAAAGATGGTTACAAAACGCACACTTGGTCTGCTCTCAGGTGTGGTGGAGAGACACTTTCCCTCACAAGTTTTGAACTATGGTGCTACTGAAGGATGCTGAGGATCGGTTGGCTGGACATGGTCACCAATGAAGAGCTGCTGCAAAGACCCCTCCACACCTGATGACCTTCTTTGGAAGGAAACATGTTGGGTGGCTAGTCGAGGAAACGGTTTGGACTGAGTATGTGCACTGTCTTCTTTTCCTTGTTATTGAAATACCTTTGGGTTTGCACTACAGTGTTTTTTATTTTGTGGTTTTATCTTTTTTAATAAATATTGTGAGTGATCCTCTGCACTATCCAGTGCTGGCTTTGCCTTCCCTTATATGCTTTTTGGATGACCGGAGTTCTGAACTCACATTGTGTGTCAGTGAGAGGCGGGCTTAGTTCAGCTTAGGGAGCTATCTGGTGGAATGTTTTATTGCACCCAGCTGGGAAGTAACAAACTGCTGGGAGGAAGGCATTCATCCAAAGTGTGGAAGGAGAGAGATGATAAATCAATTGACCTTATGTGGGTACAGGACTTTGGAGACAACTGGGAGCTACTGTTAGGGAGTGTATCTGCCCTTCTCGATGGGAGACGCAGGTGGGGATAAACATCACTAAGTAAGTATTGGCCTCCGTTGATCTGTGGGGTCAGTGGATCTGCTGAGCATACTGGTTGTCTTCATAGATTGGATCCGAAGAGGTTTACATTTTAAAGCAGAGGATATTGGAATTTCAAACATTGCATTTTTTTTATACTGTTAGTCAAGGACGCAAAACCACGTCTGTTGGAAGCAATATTAAAGATGCCAAATTTTTGACCATATCGCAAAAAACTCAGCTGGAGAGGAGCTATGCAAGAGAGAAAGGTAAAGGAAGAAGAACATTGTGGATGGAGGACATCCAGGAAATGAGGCAGCCATTGTATAAAATTAGAACATTAACCTGGCAAAAGACAAGACCAAATGGAAAGCCATGGTGGACGTGATGAAGGGTGGATGCGATGATTAGTGGAAGTCATGGGTCGACGCCGTGATGAGTGGAAGCAAACTTCTTAGTTGGGAGGACACCAAAAGTAGAATATTAGCCAGGCAAAAGAGAAGACTAAATGGAAAGCCATGGTGAACATGATGATAGGTGGACGCAATGATGGGAGGATGTCATGGGTTGAAGCAATGATGGGTGGAAGCAAGGTTCCCAGTTGGGAGGACACCAAAGTGGAACATTAACCTGGCAGAAGACAAGACCAAAAGGAAAGCCACGGTGGACATGATGATGGGCAGAAGTCTTGGGTTGACGCGATGATGGGTGGATGCCGTGATGGGTGGAAGCAAGGGTTCCAAGTTGGGAGAACACCAAAGTAGAACATTAATCTGGCAAAAGACGAGACCATATGGAAAGCCATGGGCCTGCCAGATCAGATACACGGTAAATGGATTGGTTGGGTCGGGTAATCACTTTTTGGGAAATCTAAAGCTGGCCATACACCATGGTGTATGGTGTTCTTAAAGGGGAAAGCACAATCAGACTGTATGGTCATCTTGAAGGGGACAGTACAATCAGACTGTATGGTTTTCTTAAAGGGGGCTGTACAATCAGACTGTAACATGCATGGTCAGCTTTACCTGCCCCACTGTGCCCAAAACTTCAAAAGAAATGTTTATGCTCCCCACCTTAAATATTCCAGCCGACCACCCGATCTGAAAACAATACAATGGATACAAAGACTTCAACCGATCAGATCGCCTTCACACAACTTTATACCATACACACACATCATCTGTACTAGCTCACCCTAGGCTAGCGGACCAAGGGATCAGCATGACAAAGGCGACCACGTGACCCTAGAGCCGGATAAAAGGACTACAACCCTCAGCAGAGGCTGGCAGAGCTTGCTGAGACTTATCGTCCCACTACAGGCGCATATACAGAGGTTGCCTGGTGGCATTCTCAGCGGTGCAGGACCACGTCTCGTGCCGGCCCGGTGCCCCTTCTATACCACCCCGGATGTACCTGTCAGTCCCGGTGTCCAATACACAATCCTCGGGGTATACCAGCTACCTATGGGCAAGATGTCGCTGCGGACAGTGCACGCATGCGCCGGTGACGAGCCTGACCTCTCATCGCCCCGCCCATCACAAGTACACACTTCCTGTGATTGGCTGAGTGCGTGCGCCGATGGACAGGCTCGGCTGAGTGCTGCGTAAGTCAATGGGGGGAATAGACTGACACCGGGAGACCGACACTGCGGGCAGGCTGGAGAGGATCTAGAGCAATGTACACTGGCTGCATGCAGAAGAGGACCTAGAACAATATACACTGGCTGCATGCAGAAGAGGACCTAGAGCAATGTACACTGGCTGCATGCAGAAGAGGACCTAGAGCTATGTACACTGGCTGCATGCAGAAGAGGACCTAGAGCAATGTACATTGGCTGCATGCAGAAGAGGAGCTAGAACAATATACACTGGCTGCATGCAGAAGAGGAGCTAGAGCAATGTACACTGGCTGCATGCAGAAGAGGACCTAGAACTATGTACACTGGCTGCATGCAGAAGAGGACCTAGAGCAATGTACACTTGAAGCATCGAGGACCAAGAGCAATGTACACTGCTGACATGCAGAAGAGGACCTAGACAGAGGGAATGATGATATGCACTGTGGATTTGCAGATGAGGACAGACACTGGGAATATATGGTGTAGACGTGCAATAGGGACCAGACACTGAGAAATATGCACAGTGGATATGCATATGTGCATTGGTGAATAGGCACCGTGGACATGGCATAGTGGATAGGCACTATGGACAAGCAATAGTGGATTGGCACTGTGGACATGACGTAGTGGATAGGCACTGTGGACATGACATAGCGGATAGGCACTGTGGACATGACATAGCGGATAGGCACTGTGGACAAGCAATAGTGGATAGGCACTGTGGACATGCCATAGCGGATAGGCACTGTGGACATGCCATAGCGGATAGGCACTGTGAACATGGCGTAGTGGATAGGCACTGTGGACATGGCGTAGTAGATAGGCACTGTGGACAAGCAATAGTGGATAGGCACTGTGGACATGACATAGGGGATAGGCACCGTGGACAAGACATAGTGGATAGGCACTGTGGACATGACATAGTGGATAGGCACCGTGGACATGACATAGCGGATTGGCACTGTGGACATGACATAGCGGATAGGCACTGTGGACATGACGTAGTGGATAGGCAATGTGGACATGACGTAGTGGATAGGCACTGTGGACATGACGTAGTGGGTAGGCACTGTGGACATGACGTAGTGGATAGGCACTGTGGACATGACGTAGTGGGTAGGCACTGTGGACATGACATAGTGGATAGGCACCGTGGACATGACGTAGTGGATAAGCACTGTAGACATGATGAAGTGGATAAGCACTGTATACATGAAATTGTGGATAGGCCTCGAGGACACGACATAGTGGATAGGCACCGTGGACATGAAATTGTGGATAGGCACCATGGACATGACATAGCGGATAGGCACTGTGGACATGACATAGTGGATAGGCACTGTGGACATGACATAGTGGATAGGCACTGTGGACATGACATAGCGGATAGGCACTGTGGACATGAAATAGCGGATAGGCACTGTGGACATGACATAGCGGATAGGCGCCGGGGGAAT